TACTAAAAATTCCAAAATTAGCTGGGTATGGTGGCAGATACCTGTAATCCCAGCTACTCTGGAGGCTGAGACAGGAGAATCGCTTGAACCTGGGGCAGAGATTGCAGTGAGCCGAGATAGTGCCACTGCACTCCAACCTGGACGACAGAGTGAGACTCATCTCAAAAAAAAAGAAAAAGAAAAAGACAAGCATGACTAACATGGCAAAACCCTGTCTCTACTAAATATATAAAAATTAGCTGGGTGTGGTGGTGGGCACCTATAGTCCCAGCTACTCAGGAGGGTGAAGTAGGAAAATCGCTTGAACCAGGGAGGCAGAAGTTGCATTAAGCAGAGATAGTAGTACCACTGCACTCCAGCCCGGGGATCAGAGTGAGACTCTGTCTCAAAAAAAAAAAAAGAAAGAAAGAAAAGAAAAAAAACAAAGTGGAACATAAAGAGATAAACAGTGCCTTAAGCATTTATTCCTCATTTCTGCAAAACAACAGGTAGATTAAAGAAGAAAACCATTTTTCCTTTGAAAAAAATAGGTACTTGTGAATGACAACAAACAACATCATAAATTTCAGAAAAGAAACCTTTTAATCAGATGTGAATTTCTGCTTTCCATATCTTCCAATGCTCCCAACACTGCCAGGGCTTGTGCACCAGTTAGCTCCTCTGCCATCAATAACATAGTTGATTTAAGTCTAGAAGCAAAAAAAAAAAAAAATTTTTTTGGTTGAAAAACTGAAAATTAACCTGCAATTTTTTAAAAAAATAACAATTATTGGGTAACAAATGGGAAAAATTAATATAAACAAAAACTGAATCCAGCATACAATTCCAGTGTTCTACATTTCTTGGAGATAATATAAAATATTACTGAATAAAGAAAAATACAATGTGTTCTATGCAATTCAGGCCTCAGTATAATCCAATCTTAAACTGTTTGAAAAATATAGATGAATGATCTTCCAATGATTTTCAAATAATAGAAGGTTATAATGGTTATAAAATACTATGATTCAGTGAAATTATTCAATACTAGAGAGCTAAGAAATGAACAATTGATATTCTGACAATTTCCCAAATGTTTTAAAATTAAATAGTAACCAACTAGGAAGTCAATAAATTACATATTATCAGAAATCTCATATCCTAAACACTTGATATAACAGTATAAACAGAAAATTAACAAAGATGGCCCATTTTGACTATGACTAGTTATCATTTGAGCTATCCAAAGTAGTGCAGTAATGTAAGTATCATGATATAAGTGTGTCTTTTAGAATCATTTAGAAAGCAAGCTCAAAACATGACATCTGAGGATAGGATAAAGTAATTGTTTATTCACACTGGATAATTTTATGCCATCCTTTCCACCAACCTTTTCAAACGTTTCAAACCCTGTTTCTCCCCATATTTTTCCCAATCAATTCAGTCTCTATTTTTCTCTCACTTCTGTCTGCTCACAGCACTATCCATATCACCAATTTTATTTATTCATAAACTATGTTGTTATGGTATTTACATATTTCAATTATATCTATCCTCTCAACTGCAGTATAAATTTCTTGAAGGCAGAGACTCAGTTAAATCCAACTGTTTTACTGCTTTAGCACTGAGATTTTAATAGTATTTAGTCACAAAAAAAGGTTCCAATAAAGTTGTTTTTTTTTTTTTGAGATGAAGTCTCACTCTGTCGCCCAGACTGGAGTACAGGGGCATAATCTCAGCTCACTGCAACCTACCAGCTTCAAGTGATACACTTGCCTCAGCCTCCTGAGTAGCTGGGATTACAAATGCCTGCCATTGCAACTGCCATCACTCCGGGCCAGTTTTTTGAAGTTTGTTTTTTTTTTTTGGGATGCGAGTTTCGCTTTTGTTGCTCAGGCTGGAATGCAATGGTGTGATCTTGGCTCACTGCAACCTCCACCTCTCAGGTTCAAACAAGTCTCCTGCCTCAGCCTCCTGAGTAGCTGAGATTACAGGCACCCACCACCCAACCCAGCTTCTTTTTGTATTTTTAGTAAAAACAGGGTTTCACCATGTTGGCCAGGCTGGCCTCGAACTCCTGACCTCAGTGATCCACCTGCCTCAGCTTCCGAAAGTGTTGAGATTACAGACATGAGCCACCACACCCAGTCCTCTTTTTTTATATTTTTAATAGAGTTGGGGTTTCACCATGTTGGCCAGGCTGGTCTCAAACTCCTGACCTCAAGTGATCTGCCTCAGCCTCCCAAAGGGCTAGGGTTAGAGGTGTGAGCCACTGCACTCGGCCCCAATAGTTCTTTTTAATAATCACCTTATCACCTTGTTTCCATCTTGATAGAGATGTGCTCTTAAATTTTTTCCTATAATTCAAAGTATTCTTAAAAAATAAAACTTTCTCCATAAAGTTTTCCCTAACAGAGTAATGATACAGATTCCCCTATTATGCAATTCTTGGAACCCCTGCTCAAGTGAATCTACTAATCATACTTACGTGCTAGGACTATTATATAAAATTCTTTATTTTATTTTATTTTTTGGAGAGACGGTCTTTATTCTGTGCCCAGGTGGAATTCAATGGAGCGATCTCAGCTCACAGCAGCTTCAACCTCCTTGGGCTCAGGTGATCCTCATGAGTAACTGGGACTCCAGGTGCGCACCACCACACCTGGCTAATTTTGTATTTTTTTGTACAGGCGAGATTTCACCATCTTTCTTAGGCTGGTCCCAAATTCCTTTGCTCCAAGTATCCACCTGCCTTGGCCTCTTAAAGTGATGGGATTATACCCTGCCCAGCTTATCATTCTAAACATTTCATACAATTATGCTGGGTGGGGGAAGTTTATGTCTAGTATAAATCCCATCACATGGCCTAGGAAGAGAGAATCTTATCTATTAACCATACTTACATATTAATTTAATAGTTGTTCATCATTATATCCCAAAAATTTCTACCTACGTCAGTATTTAGCAAAACTGGAAATTCCTAAATGAGAGATGCCACATAAAATTTGTTCAAACCTGACATGGGACATATACTGAGTGCATAATAAATGCTTTGATGATTACCGGATGTGGTGGCTCATGCCTGTATTTCCAGCACTTTGGGAGGCCTAGGCAGGTGGATCATGAGGTCAGTAGATTGAAACCATCCTGGCTAACATGGTGAAACCCCATCTCTCCTAAAAATACAAAAAATTAGCCAGGTGTGGTGACACACACCTTTGTAATCTGAGCTACTCGGGAGGCTGAGGAAGGAGAATCACTTGAACCCAGGAGGCGGAGGTTGCAGTGAGTCGAGATAGCGACACTGCACTCCAGCCTGGATGACAGATTGACACTCCATCTCTCAAAAAATAAATAAATAAATAAGCTTTGATGATTAATGAGATAAAAACAACAAAGCATAAAATGGTCCACTGCTATGACTATTATAATTCTAAATATTCCACAGACTTACACTGGGTGGGGAATCCTATGTGTATAAATCCAATCACACAGCATAGGAAGGGAGAATAAAAACACATGGTGTTTCCCCTCATTTATTTTTCATGCTGGCCGAGTATCAGAGGTTTACCTTTCAGAACACAGCAGTAGACTAAGAGTTTGAGATGTAAATCAGAATAATCAGAAAAAGAATCAAGGAGCAGACTGTAAGAGATTATTTTCCCTTCCACAACCTAAGTGGGTGATACCTGTACTTCCAGAGCTGCAGAGACCTAAGCTTGAAGCCTCCATAAATTCACAACAAAAAAAAGTAATGTATTTTAAACTGAACTTACTGTTTCTTTTCTTCAGGTCCTGCAATGGGTCCCAATGCTACAAATAATTTTACAAAGCTAGCAGGATGATTAAGCAGAGGAATCATTTCAGTCAGCTTCTTTTTGGCCACTATAATAAATTTAAAACTATTAAACTGCAGAAATTTGTGTAGACTAAGTATTTTACTGATGGAATCCAAATCGAGGTGGTCCACATTACTTAAAAATACATTATTACACCTTTCTAATAGTGGTTGATAACGATATCTAACATTTCGAAGAAACTGTACTATTCTTTTTGCAAAGTCGACCTCAGAAGAATCCATGGTGTCAAAAAGAAGTTCTGTTTTGTTCACCAGTTGTTCTTGAAAATGTCGTGATATTAAAGAAGATATGTTGACCATTAAGACAGACAAGGAACTGAAAAAGAAAAAAGATGCAAAGATTTTACATTATTTAAGAATGATCAATTCTTTTCTTTTTTCTTTTTCTTTTTTTGAGACAAGGTCTTGCTCTGTCATCCACTCTGAAGTGCAGTGGCATGACCACAGCTCCTATAACCTCCATTTCCCAGGCTCAAGCCTCAAGCTATCCTCCACCTCAGCTTCCTGAGTAACTGGGACTACAAGCCCAAGCCAACATGCCCAGCTAATTTTTTTTTTTTTTTTTTTGGTAGAAACAGAGTCTTGCTATGTTGCCAGGGTTGGTCTCGAACTGCTGGGCTTAAGCAATCCTCCCACCTCAGCCTCCCAAAGTGCGGAATTACAGGCATGAGCCACTGCACCCAGCCAAGAATAACCAACTCTAAAACGAAATAGATATGGAAAGGAAGTGGTAAGAATACTATGAGTTTCATGCCATAAAATTTTTATTTTAAATACTAGTGGGACTTGAATTCAGATTTCCCAGTAATCAAATCCTTTTGGACAAAAGGCATGGGAGTAATGTTTTCCATTGAGAGTATCAAATGCCTTGTTTTGTTGAGAAAACTACTTTGGTAGAAAATATTTTAGTGAAACTTAACTCAGAAATCAATTTGGACCAACAACCCATGAGCGTAATATTAAAAGTTTCATTTCATATTTTTAAAAGTAGACTTTTTTAATTACCCCTTTCTCTGTGTGTCTATAATTTGCTAATAAAAGCTTGGCATAATTTTTCTCACTACTGAATAATTTCATATTTTTAAATATTTTATGCTAGATTGATATTAAAATATGCCAGCAAGACAGTACTGAATATGGGACGGCATTTAACACTTCTTCACTCAATAAACACTTAAGGAGCATAAATCACTTTCCTAGACACCAGAAGACATCAAAATTACTAAGTTGTGGTCTTGTTTTCAAAATACTGTTCTTACATAATATAAAAATCAGAAAACTACAATATAAGAATACACCTTTAGGCAGGGAGCAGTGGCTCACACCTATAAACCCAGCACTTTGGGAGGCCGAGGCAGGCAGATCACAAGGTCAAGAGACCAAGACCGTCCTGGCCAATATGGTGAAACCCTGTCTCGACTAAAAAATATAAAAATTAGCCAGACGTGGTGGTATGCACCTGTAGTCCCAGCTACTTCAGAGGCTAAGGCAGGAGAATCCCTTGAACCTGAGAGGTGGAGGTTGCAGTGAGCTGAGATCATGCCATTGCACTCCAGCCTGGCAACAGAGCAAGACATTGTCTCAAAAAAAAAATACACTTTTAATGAAAAGTATGCAAAACAGAAAAGACATAAGAAAAACACTTAGGGATGATAATTAGAAAACAATCTACAAAAAAGACAAAAATATAATCAAAAATTATCTCGACCATTAGGATAGTGAGACTGTTGCTATTTTTTGTTTCCAAATTTCTCTAATCGTTTTAATAAAATTAATTTTTTAAAAAATCTCTAATTGTAAATATTTTGGCTTCTCCAGTTACAACGCTTAATGTCAAGATTAACATTAACCTACATTGCTTTTTAATTTAAACATCACTCTCCTAAAATGATTTTTTTTTAATGTGTAGATTCTCAAAGTGGTCTATAATAATTTTTAAGCAACAAGCTAAAATAATTACTTTACAGCAATTTTTTTTTTTAAGACAGGTTATCATCCTGTCACCTAGGCCAAAGTACAGTGGTATGATCATGGCTCATTGCGGTCTAGATCTCCCAGGCTCAAGCAATCCTCCTGCCTCAGCTCCCAAATAGCTAGGACTACAGGCATGCACCACCATGCCCTGCCAATGTTTTATTTTTTATAGAAACAGAGTCTCACTATGTTGCCCAGCTTGGTTGAACTCCTGGCTGCCAGTGATTCTCCTGTCTCAGCTTCCCAGAGTGCTGGGATTATAGGCATGAGTCACATCACCCAGTCCCAGAATTCTTTAAAATGAGCAAAAGACGGCCAGGCACGGTGGCTCACATCTGTAATCCCAGTACTTTGGGAGGCTGAGGGGGGTGGATCACCTGAGGTCCAGAGTTCAAGACTAGCCTAGTCAACATGGCAAAACCCCATCTCTACTAAAAAATACTAATTAGTGGGGTGTGGTGGTGGGCACCTGTAATCCCAGCTACTGGGGAGGCTGAGACACAAGAATTGCTTGAATCCGGAGGCAGAGGTTGCAGTGAGCTAAGATCGTGCCACTGCACTGCAGCCTGGGCAACAGAGTGAGACTCCATCTCAAGGAAAAAAAAAAATTAGCTGGGCGTGGTAGCAGGCCCCTGTAGTCCCAGCTACTTGGGAGGCTGAGGCAGGAGAATCGCTTGAACCCAGGAGGTGGCAACTGCAGTGAGCCAAGATTGTATCACTGCACTCCAGCCTGGGCAGCAGAGCAAGATTCCGTCTAAAAAGAGAAAAAAAAATTAGAATACTAGTTGCTGACATAGTAGGGTGGTTGAACTGACTGAGAAGGAACATGAGGGAACCTTCTTAGGTCATGCAACTATTCCCTACCTTGATCTTGATGTGGGTATATATTTGTCACAACTGATGTAACTGTACCTTTAAGTTTTGTAATATCACATATTAATAAAGCCTTACTTTAAAAAAAATAGCAATCTTCCTGCATAATTAGTGTGTTTATCCAGAAGTATCTTAAAAAGTGTTTGTGATTGAAAAAATAAAACCACCCTCAGGTGAGAATCTTAGGCAGCCAGGGGCTAGCGCATATACATATATATATATAAAATACATATACACACATACACACATGTACTCATATATATATGCACATGCATATTTTATTTATTTATTTATTTATAAAGATGGAGTCTTGCTTTTGTCACCCAGGCTGGAGTGCAATGGCATGATTTCAGCTCACTGCAACCTCTGCTTCCTGGGTTCAAGTGATTCTCCTGCCTCAGCCTCCAGAGTAGCTAGGATTACAGGCACCTCCCACCACACCCAGCTAATTTTTGTATTTTTAGTAGAGACAGCTTTTCACCATGTTGGCCAGGCTGGTCTCGAACTCCTGACCTTAAGTGATCTACCCGCCTCAGCCTCCCAAAGTGCTAGGACTACAGGTGTGAGCCACCGCCCTCGGCCGCATAGGTATTTTTTTTTTTTAAAGGCAGGGGGCTGGGTATGGTGGCTCATGCCTGTAATCCCAGCACTTTGGGAGGCTGAAGTAGGTGGATATCACTTGAGGTCAAGAGTTTGAGACCAGCCTAGTCAAAATGGTGAAACCCCATCTCTACTGAAAATACAAAAAATTAGTGGGGCATCATGGTGGGCACCTGTAATTCATGCCTTGGGAGGCTGGGGCATGAAAATCACTTGAATTCAGGAGGCAGAGTTTGTTTCCCCACCCTCCGTGCGGTAAAACAAAGGAAGCCTCCTGAATAAAAAAAAAAAAAAAAAAAAAAAGGCAGGGAGATAGGGTGGAGTGGGACAAGAAATACAGGAAACTACTATAATTTAATTTTACCAAACTGCTAGTCACTTTGTAAATAAGGTAGAAAAAGCTGTATCTGCAACACCAAAGATAATCATAGTACTGTACTGGGTTATGAAGGTTAGCACTGACAGTAAGTAATCTTACATTAAAAATAAACCCACAAACCACTGATGGGAAAACCAGAGAAACTCCTCAAATGTTACTTTCAAATTAATAGTTCCTTGACATTCAGCAAAGGTAATTATTAAGTCTGCTTTATGAAGCTGAAAAGAAAGTATTCCCAGATGGAAAGAATAAGAAAGACATAAATGCATATAAAATTTGTGAACTCACACTCAATTTACTTATTATTTATTTATTTATGTATTTGAGATGGAGTCTCACTCTCTTGCCCAGGCTGGAGTACAGTGGCACAATCTCACCTCACTGCAATCTCTGTCTCCCAGGTTCAAGCAATTCTTTTTTATTGTTGTTGCTTGTTCTGTTTGCCTTTGAGTAACAAACATCTTTCTTTCTATTCTTTTTTTGGAAAGCAATTATTGTGCCTCAGCCTCCTGAGTAGCTAAGCTTACAGGCACCCACCACCACACTCAGCTAATTTTTTATTTTTTTTGTAGAGACAGGGTTTTCACTATGTTGGCCAGTCTGGTCTCGAACTCCTGACCTCAAGTGATCAACCCACTTTGGCTTCCCAAAGTGCTTAGATTACAGGTTTGAGCCACCACGCCTGGCCAGTAAATTCATACTTAAATACTTCTTGGGTTTACTTCATGATATAATAACATCTGCCATCCATTACTGAGAAATTTCTGTTCTAGATACTTAGAGACCATTTTCTATGGTTTTCTGACTGCCTTTGTTCAGAACTATCTTTTCAAGGATGTTTATGTAGCAAACAGCCTAGGAGAATAGAGATAATGTCTCCTGTTGGAGTAGAGTAGGCATGCATTATTATAAAAGATTCAGGTTTCCTAAGCTCAGAGTTCCTCCCCTGGAACACAACCCATTGTAGGACAAGAGCTCAAGGAATCAACATAAGAAAATGCTGGTACTCTGCTACTGCTATTGCTATAAAAAACAAAGTCCTCTGTCTCTGACCTAGGAGTCTCAGGCCTTCCTCCAGCACCTATCAAAATGTGGCAAACAAACTTAGCTTGCAAATTAGGTAAAATCTCAGATCCTCCACAGACCTCAACATTATTGTATCACACTTTATGTACTTTATGTCTAATCCCCACAGCAACAGCGCAAAGTAGCTATTACTATACCTCTTTTGCAGATGAGGATAATGAACTTCCAAGAGCTTAAGTAAATTAGCCTTAAGTCACACAAACTAAGAGTGGCAAATCTGATTGCATCCACATCCAAAGTGCAGGATCCTTCCACCATAATACAAGATTTCCTAAATAAATTTACCTTAAGTCCTGTGTGGTTTCCAAGTTCCTATGAACAATATCAGCTATTTTTCCCATTAAAGGACTAAAATATAAACGCTGCTGTGCTAGGCAAGTGGAAAATTCTGATAGCAGTTTAATATCAAACCTATTCAAGGAAACATACAAAGGAGCTTATCAGCATTTACTTTCACTTAAAACACATAATACATAGTTACAAAATTAAAAGCAATCAAAACAGTAACATATTACTCACATAAAATTATTTTTTTCTAAAATGTTGACTATTATTATAAAAGTAACAAATGCTAACAGTAAAAAAGTCAGATATAGATAGATTTTAAAAGGGGGAAAATCACTAAAAATTATTTGAATTATATACTTTTTGAGATGACAGAAGAATTTTGACTCAAGGTTGCATATTAACAAATATAACAGCTGCTACTACAACAGTGCTATGAAAAAGTTCATAACTTTTTTTCTTGAGGCTTGGTTCACTGCAACCTCCACCTACCAGATTCAAGCAATTCTCCTGCCTCAGCCTCTCAAGTAGCTGGGATTACAGGTGCCCACCACCAAACCCAGCTAATTTTTGCACTTTTAGTAGAGACACGGTTTCACCATGTTGGACAGGCTGGTCTTGAACTGCTGACCTCAGGCGATTCATGCGCCTCAGCCTCCTAAAGTGCTAGGATTACAGGGGTGAGCCACCGCACCTGGCCTCAGAATTTTTAATAGGAGAAACGATCCAATTTTTCCATGAGTAATTGGCAAGACAAAAGAGAGGAAAGGGAACTGTTATAGATTGTATGATCTTGAATTCACTAAAAAACAAGTATAAGAAAGTTCATAACCACACATATATAACAGCAAAAACCTGCAAAAAACCCAAATGTCCATCAAGAGTACAATGGATAAACTACACATATTCACACAATAGAATAAAATTACAGAATCATAAACATAAAGGATAAATCCTTAAAATATACTGAACAAACTAAACTATAAGGGTACATACTACAGGATCCCATTTCTATAGAAACAAATTAATTTAATGGTGTTAGAGGTCAAGATCCTCTTGTAGTGAGAGGACTAAAGAGAATATGAAAAGAATTAATGATGTTGTTTCCTGATCTTGGTGCTGTTACATAGAAATTATCAGTATATTAAAATTTATCATGCTGTATATTTATGATTGGTGTAATTTCATATGGTTTTTTTTTCTGTAAAGTTTACTTAAAAAGAGACGAAAAAAACTTAAGAGACACAGTAATTGTGAACGTTACTCACAAACTGCCTATAAAAAAGACCTTTATGGCCGGGCGCGGTGGCTCAAGCCTGTAATCCCAGCACTTTGGGAGGCCAAGGCGGGTGGATCACAAGGTCAAGAGATCAAGACCATCCTGGTCAACATGGTGAAACCCCGTCTCTACTAAAAATACAAAAAATTAGCTGGGCATGGTGGCGCGTGTCTGTAGTCCCAGCTACTCAGGAGGCTGAGGCAGGAGAATTGCCTGAACCCAGGAGGCGGAGGTTGCGGTGAGCCGAGATCGCGCCATTGCACTCCAGCCTGGGTAACAAGAGCGAAACTCTGTCAAAAAAAAAAAAAGACCTTCATAAGACAATCAAGAAAATTTGAACACAGATAAGGTACGAGGTAATATTAAAAAGTTTAATTTAATTTCATCAATTTTATTATGTTTTTAAGAGACAGTGTCTCACTATGCTGCCCAGGCTAGACTTGAACATCTAGATTCAAGTGATCCTCCCCCCTAAGCCTTTTTATTAAAACTAAAAAAAAGGCCAGGCGCGGTGGCTCACGCCTGTAATCCCAGCACTTTGGGAGCCCAAGGGGGTGGATCACCTGAGGTCAGGAGTTCAAGACCAATATGGTGAAACTCATCTCTTAAAAAAAAAAACTAAAAAAAAAAAACCTAAAAAAAAAATTTTTTTTGTGGGTACATAGTAGGTATATATATTTATGGGGTACATGAGATTTTGACACACGAATGCAATGCAAAATAAACATATCATGAAGAATGTATTCATTCCCTCAAGCATTTATCCTTTGAGTTACAAAAAATCGAATTATATTCCAGGTTATTTTAAAATGTACAATTAAGTTATTATTGACTATGGTAGCCATGTTGTGCTGTCAAATAGTAGGTGTCATTTATTCTTTCTATTTTTTTATTACCCATTAACTATCCCCACTTCCCCCACAACCCCTCGTTACCCTTCCCAGCCTCTGGTAACCATCTTTCTACTCTCTACGTATATGAGTTCAATTGTTTGGATTTTCAGCTCCCATGAATAAGTGAGAGCATGAGATGTTTATCTTTTTGTGTCTGGCTTATTTCACTTAGCATAATAATCTCCAGCTCCACCCATGTTGTTGCAAATGACAGGATCTCATTTTTTTTAATGGTTGAATAATACTCCATTGTGTATATATACCACATTTTCTTTATCCATTCATCTGTTGATGGACACTTAGGTTGCTTCCAAATCTTAGCTATTGTATACAGTGCTGCAATAAATATAAGAGTGCAGATATCTCTTCAATATACTGATTTCCTTTCTTTTGGGTATATACCCAGCAGTGGGATTGTGAGATCATATGTTAGTTCAATTTTTAGTTTTTGTGGGAACGTCCAAACTGTTCTCCACAGTGGTTGTATTAATTTACATTCCCAACAACAATGTATAATGGTTCCCTTTTCTCCACATCCTCACTAGCATTTGTTATGGCCTGTGTTTGGATATAAGCCATTTTAACTGTGATGAGATGATATCTCATTGTAGTTTTGATTTACATTTCTCTGATGCTGAGCACCTTTTCATAAACCTGTTTGACATTTGCATGTCTTCTTTTGAGAAATGTCTACTCAAATCTTTTGCCCATTTTTCGATCGATTATACTTTTTCCTATCAAGTCATTTGAGCTCTTCATATATGCTGGTTATTAATCCCTTGTCAGGTGTATAGTTTGCCAATATTTTCTCTTTTTTTTTTTTTTTTTTTTTTTGAGACGGAGTTTCACTCTTGCTACCCAGGCTGGAGTGCAATGGCGCGATCTCGGCTCACCGCAACCTCCGCCTCCTGGGTTCAGGCAATTCTCCTGCCTCAGCCTCCTGAGTCGCTGGGATTACAGGCACGCGCCACCATGCCCAGCTGATTTTTTGTATTTTTAGTAGAGACGGGGTTTCACCATGTTGACCAGGTTGGTCTCGATCTCTTGACCTCGTGATCCACCCGCCTCGGCCTCCCAAAGTGCTGGGATTACAGGCTTGAGCCACCGCGCCCGGCAATATTTTCTACCCTTCTGTGTACTCTCGCTTTACTTTGTTGATTGTATCCTTTATTGTGCCACCTCAGCCTTCTCAGTAGCTGAAACTACAAGCATGTGCCACCATGCCCAGCTGGTTCTATATTTTTAAAAAGTCCTTCTCTCAGAAAAACATACTGAGGTATTTAAAGATGAAATGATATCATTATTTAAAATATACTAAAGTACACTGAGAATGGGAGGTGATACAGATAAAACAAGACTGGTTATATGTTGATAATTGTTGAAGCTGGAGGACAGGTACATGGGACTTCATTGTACTACTCTTTCTCCTTCTGTACATGTTTAAAGTCTTCCATAATAAAAAGTATTTTTTTAAAATTTGGATTTATTGGGAGGCCAAGGTGGGAGGATCCCTTGAGCCCAGGAGTTCAAGATCAGCCTGGGCAACATGGTGAAGCCCCATCTCTACTAAAAATATAAAAATTAGCTGGGCTTGGTGGCATGCACCTGTGGTTCCAGATACTTGGGAGGCTGAGGTAGGAGGATGGATTGAGCCTGGAAGTTTGAGGCTGCAGTGAGCCCTGGTTGCACCACTGTAACAGAACCAGATCCTATCTCAAAAGAAAAAATATATATATGGATTTCAAATACATGTTAATTATCCTTGCCATAATCCATCATATAGAACTAATCCAGAATAATCTATCCCATTTAAATCATTAAAAATTATATTTATAGCCGGGCGCGGTGGCTCAAGCCTGTAATCCCAGCACTGTGGGAGGCCGAGGCGGGTGGATCACGAGGTCAAGAGATCGAGACCATCCTGGTCAACATGGTGAAACCCCATCTCTACTAAAAATACAAAAAACATTAGCTGGGCATGGTGGTGCGTGCCTGTAATCCCAGCTACTCAGGAGGCTGAGGCAGGAGAATTGCCTGAACCCAGGAGGCGGAGGTTGCGGTGAGCCGAGATCGCGCCATTGCACTCCAGCCTGGGTAGCAAGAGTGAAACTCCGTCTCAAAAAAAAAAAAAAAAAAAATTATATTTATAAAACATAAGTTCATAGATATTTTAGTAAGATCACTGTACTACTTATTTTGAAATAAAGAAAAATTTACAAGAAATGCTTGATTCACTATAAAATACAATCACACGTGTAATTTAATTAATATAGTAATTGTAAAACACAAAAGACCACCTATTTTACAAGTGATTTGTTCAAGCTGCATAATACACATAATGCAATGTTGCTTTGAAGAGAAATAAAATGTTGTGACCTATTATCAACACTGACCAAATTTAATCCCAAAGATCCAATGAGTAGATAATTCGTACTGTTAACAAAAGGAATAAGATTACTCTGCTTACCCTCAATGTGGTTACAGGTAGAGAGTATAAAAGAAGACAGATGGACTTAGATAATTAGATTAACTAAACACACAACTTAGTAGATACAGAATTTCTAAACCTAGAGAACTGTTCTGTCCCTTAATTTAATCCAGCTCATGTAATAAAAGCTTACAGAGTTTACCAACATATATCTATAAGTATTTATTATAGTTTAAGCTTTAAGAGGAAATATGTTAAAAGTATTATAAAAATCAGGATAGTCACTCCTTTCTGTCTACAAATAAATAGCCTGTTGTTTCTCCTTCATCTTAGTCAAGCCTTTTCTGTCTGGTTTCTATTTGACCTAGAAGGAGAGCTGCTCTGTAGTTTTTAATATCCTCCTATCTCTTCCTCACGCTGATTTTTCTCTTTCCTCCTTAACATTTGCCTTACTTCACTAACAATAGACTACAATCATCCAGAATTCTTAGATTAAAAAATTCAAAGTTTTCAGAAATAGATGAAGATTTCCCAAAATGAGTCTGCTATTATCTCAGCGCTTTTATAAAGAGCTTCTGATATATACTTAAAGAATAAATTTCTCTATACTCACAAGATTTCCTATGTTTCTGGATGATTAAACTTTGGCAACATGCTAAAAGCAGAGATGTGTATGGTACAGAAAATAGATCTAAATTAATACCGTCCACAGTAGTGGACCTGAAGGTCACTTTCTTTAAAAAGCTTCTAAGTCACCTATAAGCTCTGGTCATTGTCGCTCCATAAAAATGGAGTAACAGACAAGTAGCTACAGATGCTACTTCTAGGCTTTTATTGATAGCCAATTAATAAAGAATCTTTCCTTTCTGAAGTATTCTTCTAGAAAAGAAGATTCAAAAAGGCTAGTTCAGGCCGGGCGCGGTGGCTCAAGCTTGTAATCCCAGCACTTTGAGAGGCCAAGGCGGGTGGATCACAAGGTCAAGAGATCAAGACCATCCTGGTCAACATGGTGAAACCCCATCTCTACTAAAAATACAAAAAATTAGCTGGGCATGGTGGCGCGTGCCTGTAGTCCCAGCTACTCAGGAGGCTGAGGCAGGAGAATTGCCTGAACCCAGGAGGCGGAGGTTGCGGTGAGCCGAGATCGCGCCATTGCACTCCAGCCTGGGTAACGAGAGTGAAACTCCGTCTCAAAAAAAAAAAAAAAAAAAGGCTAGTTCATAAATAGCTGTGACTCTATCTTATTTATATTTCAACTAATTACATACATGGAAAAGTATACTATTCCCCACTCTTAAAGAGGAAATACATGAAATACTTTCTTTTCTCTCTTAAAGAATACACGGCCAGGCATGGTAGCTCATGCATATAACCCCAGCACTTTGGGAGGCCAAGGAGGAAGAACTGCTTGAGCCCAAGAGTTTAAGACCAGCCTGGGCAACATGGCGAGGCTCTTTAAAAAAAAAAAAAAGGAGAGAGAAGGAGAAAGAAAAGAGAAAAGAATATACATTACACAATCAAAAAGTTTCAAACTAAACTGAGTTTTAAATATATTTTTTACAATGAAGCTTGACAGGCAATCAGTTCCCTATTCTTTTCCTTCAAGATTTCACTGTGTTAACCCCGAAAAGGATAACCCTGGCCTTCAAGATGCACCCAGAGTACTTGCCTTTCTAGCCTTCTCCAGGATTCTGTAACTAGTGCTTCAACTAGCGGGTCGAAGGCCTCACCAGCAAACCTTAATAAAAAAGAAAGAAAAAAATCCTCCATATATAATCATTTTAAAATCATCAAAAACATTCGCAGTAAGAATTATAATGCAAAAGTGAACCTCAAGTTATCTTCCTCTTATATGGGCAGTCCTTATTTCTGGTCCACTTTTATTTCAGTATTCTGATTTCTTGGTAAAGTCTAATTAACATCTATACTTTATTCTTCTCACCCTTTTATCTGCTCATTTCAATATGCATGTCACTGACCAATGATAATGTTCAACAATATATTTATGTTAAAAGTACCTATAATATGTCTTACTTTGTTTTGATTTAAATATTTGTGGCCAGGTGTGGTGGCTCACACCTGTAATCCCAGCACTTTGAGAGGGTGAGGCGGGCGGACACTTGAGGTCAGGAGTTCGAGACTAGCCTGGGCAACATGGTAAAACCCCATCTCTACTAAAAATACAAAAATTAGCTGGGCATGATGGCATGCGCCTGTAACTCCAGCTACTCAGGAGGCTAAGGCAGAAGAATCGCTTGAACCCCAGAGATAGAGGTTGCAGTGGGCCGAGATTGCACTGCATTCCAGCCTGGGAGGCAGAGTCAGACACCGTCTCACAGATAAATAAATAAATAAAATTAAACAGCCAATAGTCACCAATCACCTTATTCATAAAGATTTAAGCATTCCCTTCAAGTACCTCAGAGAAAAAAACTCTGTAACCAGGGAAAGACCACTAAAAAACATGGAATCAGGCTGGGCGTGGTGGCTCACGCCTGTAATCCTAGCACGCTGGGGAGGCCGAGGTGGGTGGATCACCTAAGGTCAGGAGTTCGAAACCACCCTGACCAACGAGGTGAAACCCCATCTCTATATTTAAAAAAAAAAAA